GGTGAAGCGGCTCTGCAGTGGGAATCACTGTTGCGGCGCGGTGTCTTTGTCATGTGTGGAGAAAAGCCAGTGCCCGGCCCCTTCTGCCCCGTCCCTAGCGGCTCCGGTGGTGCGCTTGCCCGCCTCGGAAGCGGCTGCAGCGCCGGGGGTGGTGGGAACGGTCCAGCCGGGGGTGGTGGGAACGGTCGGCGCCTCCGAGGGCGAGGGCGGCACCCAGAGGCGAGAGCGGCGGCCACCCCGTGAGGGGGCTCGTTTCCCCTCGCCGACAGGGGGAGACGCTGACCCGCAGGGAACGGAGCAAACTGATGATTTTCCTTCTCTCTTTCTTCCTCCGGCGGAACCACGCAGGAGCGAGCACCCGCTGGCGCAGCTCTACTGCCACTCCACCCTGGAGCACCACCACTTCGACCAGTGCCTGATGGTCCTCAACAGCCCGGTGAGCGCCCCGGCGGCTGCGGCGCGCTAAGGGCTCTGTGGGCGCGGTTTTAGTTTGAAGTTTTGGATCTGTTCCCAGCATCATAAATTCTTGAGCGCGCTTTATTCCTTTTTCGGTAAGGAAGGCGAAGCCAAACATTGGTGATCTTCGCAGCCTCCCGTCTCCAGACAACCCAGACTGTCTCGTGCTGCCCGAGGAGGAAATTTGGTTCCTATTTGGTGATTCCAAATTGGAGACAAAAAACCCTGGTATTTCATGGCCCTCAGTGGATTCCTTTTTTTTTTTTTTGGGGGGGCTAAATGAGGTAGATTATACAGTTCCCAGGTTTGCTTTCTCAAGGCAGTGGCACCATCTGTATTGAGAGCTCTGACCGCTGACAGGATGTTCCGTGAGGGAACAAAGCTATTTCACATCTTAGAGAAAAATGTGTCAACGTGAGAAAGCATGTGCTGTGCCTCTTTGTGTTGGAGGAAAAATAAGGTTCAAATCATGAGCTCCAAACACCGACAGTGGCTGCCTCTCGAGCGGAATCACGAGCACTTTTCATGGCTGGTGTTTTGGCTTGTTCCTGTCGTCCCCGTGAATTGCTTTTGTGAGAACAAAACATTGAAGGTCGAGACTCCGGGGTGCACAAACAGCGCGTG